TTTTACTCTTGCAAACCCCTCTGGAGTAAAGCCAGTAGTCGGTCCCCACAGCTATGGTCATCAGGCTGAAGGCAGCGAAAGCACCAACGGTGGTTAAAAGCATCTGAACACCTCTGTCAAAGAGCCCCATAATTCTTCATTATATAAATACCCAACCGCCTTCTGATTCTTGGGGTGTGTGTGTTAATAAAATTAAAAAAGGATAATAATTCCACTAATAATATAATGGGAATATATAGAGAGATATATATAAAAAAGGGAGGTAAGAAAGCCCACGGAAAAGAGTGTAAATTGCAAAGATCACACGGGAAGAGGCTTGCCTTTTAAATCAGAAACGTTCCAGTTGTAATAGATGTATATATGTATATAAAAAAAAAGAAAGAAAAAAGAAAAAAGAAAAAAAGAATAAAACAGAAAGAAAAGAACTAAAAAAAGAGAGAGAAATAAAGAGAGAAACCCCCCCCAAAATGAGATGCCTTAATCCCTTTTTCTAAAATTCTGGTCTCCAGTTTCCATATGTAATGGCTAATTTGGAGATGGCTTCCACAGTGAACAGGGGAGCAGCAGCAGCATCCTCAACACAATCTCTCATTATCTGGACCTAGACAGTTAGAGATTGTAAGAGCAGAGATGCAACCTTCAGTCTTCTTGCTTAGCTCTGCAGCCTGCGCCATGAAAATCCCTTTCCTTCCCAGTTATCTTCCTTGGATTTTTGTTTTTGTTGTTGTTGGGTTTTTTTGTTTGTTTCTACTCTCTTGCACTTTTCTTGCTTTCTTTTTGTTTGTTTGCTTGTTTGTTTTGCTTGCTTGATTGTTTCTTCCCCTACCACCGAACCAGGCTGCCCAGTATACTGTAAGCCCTTGATTTCAGCTGAACAGGTGCTGAGGTCTTGCCTTCCATGGCTTTCCCCACAGCAGCAGCAGCAGCAGTAGCAGCAGTTGGTGTTGTTGGCGGAGGCAAAAGTGGGCAGGAGGGGGTGTTGCTCCCCCAGAATCGAGACGGGTTTCCCTCCTGCTCTCTGCAACGCTTCGGAAGAGAAGAGGATCGGTGTGTTGCTGCAGGGTTTGCTGCCCGGCGGTGGCTGCCTCTGCCTCTCTCCCCTTGGCAGTTGCTCTCCCACCTACTGCATTATCGTGGTGGTGCTGAAGTGGACAGCTCCCCGGCACAGGGTGCTCCGCGGTGCTGGAGAACAGCTCCTCCGCGCCTCGCCCGGGATGCTGCGGGGGACCTCGGGAGGGGAGCTGGGGGCAAGAGCTTCCCCTTCTTACTGCCTGTTCCCCGGCATCTGCAAATGGTGGTGACCCTCCTCTGCTCTGAGGAGCAGGAAGGGAGGGGCGGGGGTGCGGGATTAGCCTTCCCACTTGTCCCTTCTTGGTTGTACCCCTCTTCTTCCTCAGTCCTGAAATGATTGCTCCCCTAGGCTTCAGGAGCGGAGAGCGAGGCGTAGCTGGGTCTCGCTCGCTCGCTCGCTCGCTCTTGCCCAGCCCAGCCCAGCCCAGCCTCCTTCTCATCCCAGCTATACGTGCCCAGGGCTCCAAATACAAGCCTCACATCACAATTAGACCAGCACCAAACTTCAATCAGCCGTTTCTCTTCCCAGGAGAAGGGAGAAATGCAACGTGGAAGGGTCGTTTAAATAAATAAATAAATATAAATATGTGTCTGCATACGTACATACATATAGATGTGCGCGCACACACACACACACACACACACACACACACACACAGTCTCTTAAAATAAAATGAAATGAAATAAAATAAGGAAGCTGGCGTTTGAGCACTTGATCTTCCTTATTCTCGGGTTTGTTACAAGTCAGATTTTTTTTTGGTGGTGGTGGTGATGCTCCTCTCTCGTTCCTTTGTCTCTTCTTAACCAATGGTGTGTGTATCTCTCTCTCTCCTTTGTAGCTTACTGTGAAATCCCAAATCCTGCTCCAACTAGCAGACATTTTGGAAAGATTGTTGAGAGAAAAGGGTCATTTCGAAACACAGAAGAAGAAGTTGCTTGCAAATTGAATCCCCCCCCCACAATCCAGCCCTCTGCTCATTGCACACGGGGGAGGCTCTGACTGAATCGACAGAAAGGCTATGATCGCGCATCGCCTTGAAGTTTCCTGTGCCAAGCACAGCTCGTTAGGACCGGGTCTGAGCCCGCACACATAGAGATGTACATAAAGTGAACAGTGCTGGCATGTCACCAGCCTCTCTGCCTCCCCCAGCACTCTCCTCACAGCCACTTTAATGGCATTATTCACTTCAGGATGCTAACCTGGGGAGCTGCACCTTCATGGAGAGAAAAAAACCCCAACTGGATGACCCTGATTTCATTTCTCCCTGACCAGCTTCATAGTTCAGAGAGCAGGGGGCCAGGCAGCTCGCAGGGAAGTTGAAGCAGTGAGACACATCGCAATTTCATAACTCTCTTCATCTCTCCGCCCTTCCCTGGATGCCGGCTGAGCTCATTCTGAGACAAGCTCTCCGAGGGCTGCTGAACGCTGAAGAGTTTGTAAAGAGAGAGAGAATTACAAACCAGTTTGTACTGGTTGTGCTATCAATCTCTGAGCCCCCACCTGCTACTGACGTGCTGACCTCCAGTGGGACACTCTCTCCTCAGCTTGGCTACCTCAGACCCCCAACTACCTGCCTCTTCGCTCCCATTTGCCTGAATGCCCATTCATGCCCAGGCAGGCGATGACAAGCTTGCTAGTGTGTGAGAATTACATGTTCTCTCCTCCTCCCACCCCTTGGATTTGCTTCCCTCCTTCACAGTGTGGATTCATTGACAAGAAAATCTGCTCTCCTCTTTCTGTCCCAATACGCAAGAGGGAGCCAAGGGGAAGGGGACAGTGAGAGCTTCAAGGTGCACCTTAGAGCTGGGCCAAGGTAGCGAGCAAAGTTTATGGTGGTTACAAGGGGCTGTGTGAGAGGGGGCCTCACCACCATGCCCCTCAGAGAGCCCTGTTCATCCCAGTGCCACCCCCAGGGTCCTGCACCCTCCCTTCCAGCCCCTGATTATTCTTTTAAATGATTAGTGTGGCCCACTCTCACCAACTCTCTCAGCCCAGTCATGCCCCCATCCCAGACACATATATACACAGGGGCTGGGAAGCCAGTGGCAAACATCATCCCAGAGCCATATTTGTCAACACAGGGGCACTGGCATCTGGCATTGTCAATACCAGGAGCACTAGCAGCAGCAGCCACCAGTCCCCCTCAGCCTGGGGAGGAGGTAAGGGAGAAGCCTGGATGCCCCTTGCCCCCAGCAGACATTGTTGAAAGGACATTCCTGCCATCCATGCTAGGCCTGACATGTGGTGCGCTCTGAAGCTGAGCAGCAGGGGGACACAGAGCTGGGCAGATGGTCAGCTGTCCCTATGTTTGATTGGACTGGTCAAAGCACATGTGTTTGACTGGGGATGGATTAATTGGGGTCTTCAAAGGGGAGGGAGCATCATCAGCTCCAATGGTGACAAGGCAAGAGAGAGCCTTCTCTGCTCACTGGGAACCACTGTGCTTGACCTGGGCAGTGGAGCCAGTGACCCTGCTCTGTGGCAGCCTGGACTGTCCCTTTTGTGCAAGTTGTGGCTTCAAGGAGTGGAGAGCTCTGAGGGCTTTGCTGGTACAGGTGGCTCCACCAACCTTCTCTGAGTTCCCTCCTGCATTGGGAGGGTAGGCTTTTTTTCCTTAGGCTTGGTGTTCACCTTGCTTGTCTAAAGGACGTTGAAATGCCGAAAGTGGCAGAGACATTTCCCTCCAAGCCTGGGGTCCAGCAAGTGACCAGGATCCTATGAAAGGCCTCCAGTGAAAGAGGCTATGACTGTCACAAAGGTGTCTTTTGAGAGGCTATCATTAGGCCTCCCTAAAGTCCTAGCAGCCCTGTGGAAAACGTCTTGTGGAACTTGGTGCTAGTGGAGATTATCAAAGAGATCTTTCTTCCTGAAAGGGTGGCTCTGGGAATGGGCTGATGGTGGTTGTGATGGAGGGAGACAACCTCCTTTGCAGCTCTGACTCCTTTCCTATCCAGCACTATGTACAGTTTTCATTTCATTCTGGTCTGGAGGTTTTGGCACACCGTAGTGTTAGTAGTTACCCCCAACATTCAAGATCAAGATCTCTCCTTATGAAGACAGGAGAGGCAGAGAAGACTAGCCAGTGAAGTATAAAAAGCTCTATAGGAGGAGGTCAGATGGACAGACAACCTGAAGATTACGTAAGTGCTGTCAGGAGAGAAACATAGTCCCTGGGGGAACAAGGAACCTTGGTCACAGACCAGGACTCTGGTGTGCTAGGTGCTGGACTAACTCAGAACAAAAGGCCACTCACTGATCCAATGAGAACATGTGAGTGAATAAGTATCTGCCATTATGAGTGAGAGTTGCACAACTGGCTCAGAGCTAACAACCAGAAATAATAGAAACAAGAACACCATAGCTGAAAGAGTGGAATTATATTTCTACTTATACTGACACTACCAGAATCACAGAAATCACAGAAGGACTGGATCTATGTCATCTATGTTCTGCCCCACCAATCAGTGCAGGATTGTTCCCTTCACCACAGTCTCTAGTGCTTTGACCAGTCCAATCAAGCAATAGCAGACTTGCAATTTCCATTGAGAGGTTATTCCACAATCTGATCAGGTCCAGTCTTGAAGGATGATGAGCCCAGAAACTGCAGTAGGAGATAAGGGTGCTTAGTGCTTCACAGAATCAGGACCTAAAAGCTTCTTATCAAGCTTCTTCCTGATATTCAGACTCCGTTGTCCTTTCCCATTATCTTAGGTGCATGATTCTGGCCTATTCCAAATAATTCCTCTATCATTCTAAGTGATATGGTGGAAGAACAGGTTCAATGACAGCACAGAGGCAGAGGAAACAAACTCACTGAAATCTCAAGGTGCATGTGGCTGCCGCTGGCATTATGGCTGCAGACAGAACAGAGATTTCACCTCTTATACAAGGAATCATTTTTACACAGAAATGAGTTACAGAAGGAAAACATAGTTGCAGATTTTTATTACAGTTACAATAAGATATTACTATATACTATAAACACAGAAATATGTATTACGACTCCAGAGCAGGAGGAGAGAAATGAATGGGCTCAAGTTGAAAAAAGAGAGGGTTTTAAATTATATTTCAAATGAAATGGGGACTTGATGAGACAGAGAGACATAGGGAGTTTGTTCCTGATGCCAAAAAGAGAAGAGGGGAGGGTTCTTGCAGTAAAAGGGGTAGGATTTATGAGAGGAGGGAGAAGAAGAGGGAAAGAGAGAGACAGAGAGAGAGTACTATGTGAGTGAAGGAAAGGGGAAGAAGCAGAGAGACACACAGCAGGTGAAAGAAGCCAAAACAACTCCATAGGAGAGTGTTAAAAACAGAAAGGGCAACTGAACTTGATTGGGAAAGGGAGGGAGAGTGTGCAGAGGTGTCTGAGAATTAGGCGATGCAGTGGGTTTCCTGCTATGTGGAACAAATCTGAGGGGGGTGTTTTGTGCATGCTGTGATCCAAGAATCTGGGAAGGCACCAGAGGGTAGAAGTAAAACAGTCAAGCTAAGCAGAGTGTCAATGATGGAGGAGCAGAGGTAAGGCTGAAACAGTTGTTCTCCAAGGCAGAGTGGAGGTGGTAATAGGCACAGACACAGGGGATACAGGAGGAGGAGATGATGATGGATGATACCAAGATTATGGACAGAGGAGTCAAGTGGGAGATCTGAATTCAGGAAGGGGATGAGCCCTTAATAATGCTTCTCATACCCAAGAGATGCACTTCAAGCTGAGCTATTTATGGGGAGGAGGTTAGAGCAAAACTGTAAATTTATGTGGGTGAGACTGACACAGAGGTTGAATAGGGTAGTCACTAACCATATCACACACTATCTGCAATTCATAAATAAAAATGCTTTAGGAATATCTTAGGGTCTCAAAGTGTTTTACAAAATCAGCCTCATGTTATTGTGTGGCATTGGTATTGTTATACCCATTTTATCAATGAGCAGACAGACCAAAAGAGAAGTTAAATGTGTTTTTGGCAAGATTACAGAGTGAGTGAAAGAGGAAGGGTGAGTGAGCAAGTGAAACAGAACCCAGGAGCTCTAACTCCCAGTCTCCACATCTGAGCAGCTGAGTATCAGCACAAAAAGTGATTAAAGTAATTAAGATAAAAATTCAGATAACATGGCAAATTCGCCGCTCATGTAACTCCATGGGCCAACATGACTGAGAAGGAGGAAGAAATTATGAGAGAGCAGAGGTCTAAAAATTAACACCTTCAAGACTCCATGTAGGAGTGATAGTGGGGCAGAGGAAAAGAAATGTGTTAAGCAGGAGTGAAATCATGACACAAGAGAAGCAAACACTGAGCAAAGGATGGTGGAGGAGATCACATACTTTCTAGGTTTTCCTATGGCCTAAATCACCATAGCACATAAATATCTATTGCACATTAAAGAACTTATCCTTATGACATCCTTGTGAGGTATAATCATCCCCATTTCGCAGATGGCTACGTGAGGCACCAAGACTCAGGACCTGATTCAAAGGCCACTGAAGTCAACAGGAATCTCTGCATTGATTGCAATGGGATGAGGTCTAAATGGTTTGCTGAAAGCCATGAACGAAGTCTGTGCTAGAGCTGAAATAGAAATGAGAACACTTGAAACATGCTCACTTGGTTTTGCTACAAAGCCATCCTTTCTGTGCCATGCTTAGATGATGTCTGCTAGCGACTTTGTGATTCTGCAATTTTAGTTTTTTTCTGTCAGATCATAGAAAAACATGGGAAAAGTCAGACTGTGGACACTCAAAAAACAGATGTAAGGATGCAGTAAGGGCTGTGCTGTCTACCTTCCTTTATGTAACCACCTCCTGCTCATCTTTACTTCTTGTGTCCTCTTCAAGTCACTGTCTATTTGCTGCTAAATTCCTTTTCCTGACTTGGCTCTTCAGTTAGCACTGAGCAAGTCCTGAAAAGTCCATTTTCTTATAGAGAAGGATGGGATTTCAGTCTCCAAGTTGGGTTCATCCTGGTACCCTCCCCCTGCCCAAGACTTGCAGAGACAGACACAGCCCTTTCCACACATCCACATACCTGTCTGTATTTTTGATGGGGTGAGATAAAAAAAGTTAATCTAAATGGTGCCTCAGCCCTGGGATTTTCTAAAAGTACAGCACACTTTTCTCCCCATGGACCATTCTGTGCTGTATCAATGCAAATTCCCTTTTCAGTCATATGCTGCTAAATGTCATCTATTGGGCCCTGTGGGTTGATTTCTTCCAACAGGGAAAAACTACTCTTCTTTCGGATGAGGCAGACTATGGTGATGGTCGGGGCTTCTGTGGCAAATACTGCACAGTGCTGGGTTTCTGAATGCAAACTGTTTATCTGTCTCCCTCTTTCCATGCTGTGTTTGGGGTTTGTATGTTCAGCAAGTGCCTAATCAATAGGAATGGAAAAGAAATCAATGCCTGTAACCCATTAGCTCTACCAGAGGGCAGGCTGCTAACGAGTCACTCTGGCCAGAATTACAGTATTTGGTAAAATAACCTTTGTGAGGTACACACAGAGATTTATTGTGTGGGACTTCCACAAATAAGAATACAAAAATCAGCAAACACCCCTGTGAGTGCATTTACCTCAATACACTTACACAAATGTACAGAGCAGATCCCCTCATCTCTCAGCCATATTTACTCCTTCACAAGCTTCTATCTTAAATCAGTCAGCTTGGTATGCTTCCCTGTACCATCCTTATACTCCATACTGCATACCCCATAAGCATTTGCACCTAATCCCCCACACTTACACAGAGGCCAATATTCCACTGAATTGCTCCCCCTCACACCCTCCCTCTCACCAGCTCACATGAATACAATCTCTTCTAGACCTTCCATCCTACTCTAAACAGTCACCCTGCCCTACATATATAGAATTAAGCATAAACACCCAATCACAAGTATACAGACATATATAACCCTGGAAGCATATTCCATAATGAAGTGCAGAGAGGCTTGGGGAGGCTGCAGACATGGATGAGCTAATGTCTGAATAACATAGCTAGAGACAGCAAGGAAAGAAAAGACATTTGTCCATTGTTTGTAGGTTTGTGAATAGAGTGTGAGCAATGTTGTGATGAGCATCTGCTCTGAGGGGAAGGCACAGTGTATGAGTGTATGAAGCTAGAGCAAAACGGAATAAGGACACTGAGGACCTAATCTTGCTCTTATTAAAACTTATCCCAAAACTCCAATTGACTATACGGAGAAGAGGATCTAGGCCCCACTACTGTTCTAACACTAGGAGGAAGGGTATCCCCTTCAGATTAGTTTCAGAGCCCAGTGATGATGATCATCATACATTTTGCAGGAAACATATCTGTGGAATGCTAATGGGGATATACATAGCTGGAGCAGACCAGCTGTAAGGAAAGAAGGTCCTTGCTCTCATGCAAACGAGCCAGAGCCCCTGGAAAAGGCAAGTAATGCAAAGAATAAACAAGGCCAAAAAACCCAAAAAACAAAACAAAACAGCAAGAGAAAACAGTCTAATGGCTTGTGAGCCGAAAGATATTTTAGACTCCTCCTGGAAGCACCAGCAGGACAGAAAACAAAAAGAGGAAGTGCAGCCTTTGGTGGGGGGTTATTAGTGTTGACATTGACCAATATTTACTGGGAGCAGACTTTCTTTCTGTGAGAAAGGCACAGATGGGAGTGCAGAAGAAAACTCCTGTGTAGCTTCGCCCTTTCCACTTTCATCTGCCAAAGTCACACTCTGTCATTAACACAAGCTCCCTCCATCTGGCCAGCAGCAGCCACAGCAGCTTCACCCTCTGACCCCTGTATGGAAGAGACTAACTTTTTCTGTGCCATTGGGAGTCAGGCAGGTACCTTGACTGCAAATCACCCCCATTCTCCCCTCTCTCCGTTGGGCCATTTTAAACCCTTCTTTTGGAAGAGACCAGATAGCTAGGATACCAGAAGCATAATCCTTTCATTTCTCTGCTGTCCAGCTGCACAAGTCAGAGAGGTGGAGGGAAAGGAAATCAAAGACCTATGAGCAAAATGAGATCACAGTGCAAGATCCTAAGGGAAAGCTGACCCTCTGGAATGCATTAGCAAGTACGCGTCTGACTTTGCAGAGAAACATATTGAGAGAAATATGCAACTCAAAGATTCCTTAGGATCTTTGGGAGTACAGTAGCTCAGAAGGATCAAACACAGATACTCTATACATTCCCGGTGAAACTATGGGCCACTGCAGGCCTGGTGAGTTTTGCCTTTGACTTCAGTGAGGGCAGGATCTCACTGCAAGGCAAGCAAATTGTAGTATAAAACAGGAACTGAGAGCTACTGTTTTAAAGAGAGCCAGCTAGCATAGCGGTGGGTACATAGATGTTGTAGAAAATTCTGGACACAGTTTTTTTATTGCAAGTTTCACAAACCTTGAAGTGAATTCATATAGGAGGCAACCTTTTGGCCCCGCAGGCCAGATGAGTCACATAGGGCTGCTCTGCAGGCCAGACTGGGCCCCACATTCCCAGGATGGGGCCCCATACTACCTGCCCCATTCTACATACTTGATCTAGCACACGTTACTTGGCCCATGGGGCTGCCCATGATTTTGGAAATTTCGCAGCAGGGGAGTGGCCACCACTCCCCCACTGCCAAATTTTTGGGCTTGTGGGGAGCCTTCTAGGCCAGGTGATACTATTGAGCCCCCCTGATATGGAGGATATCTGTTAAATGTGTCAGACTAAGCATGTCAGATACTACAGCAGTGCTCAGAAATTAGGGTGATGGGCATGGTACAAGAATCTACATTGGCTAGAAATCATCAACTGGTTATGACTACCTTAAAAGACAGGCCAAGGTTTTTAAGCAAATGGATGCTTACATGTAAGCTCTTAATTCCATATTTAGGTACTCATTTAAGTGTCCTGATTTTAAATTGTGCTGAGCAGCCTGCAGCTCCTACTAATTTCACTGACAAGTACAGGTGCTCAGCACTTCTGAACGTCTGGCTACATACTGAGGTGCCTAATGAAGAATCTGAATTGAAGTTCCTATCTCTTAAAGTCTTTATAGAAATGAAGCAGGGAGTCCAGAGGCTGTGCTTTGGGTATGTAATCAACTGTTATTAGCATCAGTCATCTGCCATAAACTCAAATGATGTGCATTAATGAGGCCTTATGTATTTCCTGGGAGCTGTCCGGCCCCTTTTCACATGCACACAGTGGCAAAGCTGTGGCCACTTCAGACTTCACAGCTGTCACTGTGCTGTGCATCGTGACAACTCAGGATCTTAGAGCGTCACCTGGGACAGCACTCAGCTCCTCTCCTGCCTGAGAAGTACAGGCCTCACTCACTTGAGCTACTGGAGAATCTCCTTTGGCTGTTCTGGTCTGACACATGGGTGGGCAGTTCTGAGCTCATCCAGTAGAGGGCAGCTTGAACCCAAATCCTACCTAGTATGTTAGTGTCAAACATGGGGGCAGGTGCTTTTCATCTCTGAGCTTCACTAACTGGCTTAATCTGCTTGTTCATTTGAAGACATTTCCTTGGAGACAACAAACAGACACAGCAAAGTGCATTGGGGATGTGTTTGCCAGCACTGGCCCTGACTTTCCTATTTAGGGCATAGGATGTAGAGCCACACAGGGGAAGCTGGATTAGAACTGCCTGCCCAGGAGTGCAGAGAGCACCCACAGACTCCCCAAGCTGGGCAGATGCCTGGGAGATGGTACAGTCAACTGCTGAGCTGCAGTCTCAACATGCGCTTGCTCCTGGTTGTGTTCCTGGAAGATAAATGCTGCGCTTCCCTGGTCATATGTGCTTGTGGGTCTGATGCCTACGTCACTCAGGTAAAACTATTCAGCTGCCATTTTTCCTGTATCCAGCCCAAAGCAACAAGCCACTCCTCTTATTCACAGACCATTGGGACTCTTCTCTGCAACTGACCTATATTAGTTTTAAGCTCCATTTGTTCTGGCCTGCACTCCCCTCTCTTCCCCCACGGAGCACATACGCTACCCCTCCCCCTCATACAAACACCTTTATACATCCAAGGACATTGTAAAAATAAAATGATCACAACCTGGCCCTCAGGGAACTTCACTTTTACAGTTTGTCCTGCTCTGATGCTGATAGAATTCACAACCCAGTTTGAGAGAGACAGACAGAGAGTGAGAGAAAGGAGGCAGACAGTCAGAGAGAGAATGAGATAGAGGAGCTAAGGAGAGATAAAAAGGAGCTAAATAGAAGAAACAGAACGAGTAATCTGAAACAAGGAGAGAAAGATCTATAACCTGGGAGAGCGGGATAGTGAAGGAAGGAAAGGAGAAGAAGCTACAGGGAATTTGAGAGATCCAGAGAAAGATCTAAAAATGTAAGAACTGAGAGAGAGAAAAGGAAGAGAAAGACAAGAGAGTGAGAAAAGACAGAAGAGGAAAAAGGACAGAAATCAGGGAGAATAACAGAAGAGAAGCAATGTTAGGCATAAAAAGGGGAAGATGATGACTAAGAGAACAGGCAAAGGAAAAGAAAGAGCCAGCAGTTCTTGGTAGCCAACAGCTTCAATATGGCAGAGAAAAGAGGTGGGGTACCTTCAGAATTCAACCTGGGAGGACAGGGATTAAGTAAAAAATCCAGTATAGCAATTAACAAGAGCTCTGTCATTTTAAACTTTTTCAAACAGTCCATCAGGTTCACTGGAAACAATTAGTCAACAGGTTGCAGTGTAATGCTGACCTCCTGAACCCCAATAGTGGGGAAAAGTGAAAGGGATGTTGGTATGCTTGGGTCTGGGCACCCTAATGGCCTGCCTAAAACAAAATTAGTCCTTTTTGTTTTTATATATAACCCATCCTGTAAACAGTCATAGATGCCCACACAGCTGGTCAGAGATGCCATCTCCCTCACATCCAGACAGGTGCCTTCCTCTCCACATTTGTCTCTTTCTCCCTTTCGCACAGCTCATCTCTCTGCCCTTGTTCACTTTCTCCTCCATACAGACCCTCCTCCCTCTCTCTCCCTGTCTCCTTATAGCTGCTCTTCCTTACTCTTATTTACACAGACGATCTTCTTGCACACACACACAATCTATCTTGCACACACGCACAGTCTCTCTATATCCATTCTGCAAAGGCATTTCTAATGGACCCATTGTCCCAGTGTCTAGGTGACACCTCTCCTCCATATACCCGTTTCTCTCTCCCATCTACAACAGCCAGATCTGCCTCTCCCTCCTTCACCCAATCTCTTTCTCCGCCTTTCCCACTCCATTCCTTTGTCTGTTACATGCAGTCCATCTGTCTGTCTCTCCATCACAGTCCCTCTCTCTTTCCCTCACCCACACCCTGACCATCTGTCTGTCCCTCCTTCACATTTCTCTATCCCTCTCACACAGACCAGTCCATCCCTCTGTCTCTCTCTCTCCTTCACACAGTTCATCTGTCTCCTACACACCCAGTCCCATGCTCTCTCTCTCTCTCTCTCTCTCTCTTCCATACTGAGAGGAGGCAGCGGCGGCAAAGAATTTGCTGCTGACCGCTGCATTGCTAGGAGGCAAACACATGGCCGGCCTTGTGCAGGCCAGTTTCCGCCTGAGTGCCCCAAGTCACATATCCCCAGCATCATCTCCGGCACTGGGAAAACAGATGGTAGAATAAATGAGTGAAGTCTGATAGGGGGACAAAGGGGTGCCTACCTGGGATGCCCTCACTTACACAGAGACACACAGCTGCAGCATTGCCCTGACACCCCAATATCAACCTTGACCCCAGAAAGTCAAGCAAAGCCTGAGCTCTGCACAGGACACCATGTGGAGTACAGCATGGCAGGAATCTGTGTCACAGCCATGTTTATGACTTCAGACCCCAGAAATGTAGGTATAAGATTGGGTAAAAGCTCTCCCAAGGAGATGGGTGGATGGATGGCTCAGAAGGTATTTTCAGGGGGGGCATGACAGAGGTAGCATATCAATGGTATATGGGGGACATAAAAAGGCAGAAAGGTTGATGGGTGACAGGCAAAGCTAAGGCAGTGGTAAGGGCACTGGTTGTAAACACACTGTGTTGAGAGGTTGGAAGGATTCCCTCAGTGGATGATAGGTATAGTAGACGGGGCACATACAGTTTCCTGAAGTCCAGGAGGTTCTTCTTCAGGCATGTGCTCTGCCCCATTTCTCCTGTAAGACCAGGTCACTTCTGCTTAGCAGTTTCTCCTCTCTGTGAAGAGTAAGAGCCACAACACTAGTCAACTTTGGAAACAGGCCGTCAAGGCACAGCAGGAACAATGACTCAATGCTTGCCCCAGAGACTCTGATTTCTTGGTAAGCAGAGAGACCACAGTAGATGGAAAGAGCTCTTAATTTAGGACATGATTCTCAGTTAGGGTGCCATGCGATCCTTTCAAGGGTGTTGCAGGGTACTGTGCAATATTAACCCAGTTAGGTGTACAGACACCTACGCATTATTTACAAGATAAACCCAGAGGTTTCAAATAGGAATCCATGGTGTCAAAAACATTCTGACCTGCCGTGGTCTTTCTGAGCTCTTTGCAACAGAACAATTGCTCTAGTATTTTTCTGTAGTTAAGAAATAAATGAAGGCTAAAAGCTGGGATTTTTTTTGAGGAGTGCCTGGAGTTTAACAAGGGTAAAACCCACTGGTTTAAGGGCTCATTGGTGAATCCCTCTCTCTTCCAGCTGCACACTTCACTCAGCCCCATTGTTCATTACTGGGGTGAGATGCCCTGCAATAAGCTACAGAGGTAGTGCTGTAGTCCGACTGGAAGCTACGCAGCAAATAAAAGACAGCTGGGAAGAAGGCAGTAGAATAGAGGAGGTGAAATAATAGGCTAAGCAGAAACTCCATGGTCAGTCAGAGGTCATGTGATTGGAAGGGGTGAAGCCCTACTCTACTTTAAGCCTAGCTCTAGAGCTAAAGGAGGTGGTCTGGCCCTGAGCTTCAGGGAGGGAAGAACTCCTGAGAGCCCAGGCTGTGAAACCAGGGGACCCAGTCACTCCAGGTATCTGGGGAAGCTGGAGAAAGACAGTGGGCAGAGGACTGGAAGTTGCTGTGTAGAGACTCAAGAAACCAGAGGTTTCAGTATGGCTGACAGGGGTGGTTTTGGGGGCCATGGGTGGGCACTTCATGTCACGATGGCCTGAAGCCCAGATAGAGCCCTGCAAAGTCCGGAACCAAGTGGGCTGCACGGGCTGAAGCTGAGACAGGAACAGGGGCCCAGTGCTTGGGTAGAGAAGGGTCTGAGACCCAGTGGGCTGAAGCTGACTGGACCAGGGGCCCCTTACACGCATAGAGAAGGAGTTGAGGCCAAGATATAGCCCTACATGGGTCTGGGACCCAGTGGGCTGCATGGATTAGGCCAAGTGTTTTATAGGCAGAAGATAACAGCTTGCCAAGAGTCAGGGACTCAGAGAGCTGAGACCAGTATACAGCCAGAGGGCTCAGTGCAGAGAATAGAGTAAGACCTGTGAACCACGGATGTGGCTACTGGTGGGGCTAGAGGCCATGATTAAAAGCCATGTAAGGGGATTAGGACCTGGAAGGTCCAGTGCAAGAGAGGAAGGGCCAGTAGCCCAGTATAGTGTTCCAGAGGGGTGGGAGCCCCGCAGGGAGAGAGGCTGTATCTAGAAAGCTCATGTTGCTCTCTGAGGGCATTCTTCCCAATTATACCATCAAGGTGTGGTAGGCAGGATAGCAGGGTGATACCCTGAGAGGCCAGAGGGGAGCAAGCAGGACAAGTGGGGGCACCACAGCAGGCCTTAGAAGCCAGGTCCTGTGACAGGGCTCATGTCTCTAATACAAGTATCTTATCAATCTTCCCCAACCCCAACATTTTCACACAAATCCCAGCCTAAATATCTTCACCCTGACACTAGCCCTGAAACCCGCTGTCTTGACACCCCAAGCTCATCTCCTCTAGATTCTAAGTTCTGACATCCCCGTCAGCTGACTTAGGTCTGGCTCTGTCCAGATAACCTTCCTAAGCACTAACAATCCTAGCTTCCAAATCCAAGGCTGAAACTACCCAGCACCACAAATACAAGTCCTAGCAACAGCTCACAGTATATTTCTACATGGTTTGAAATACCAAAAGAAGACTCAGTGATGACTCACAGGTTTCACAATAGGGAGAAGAAACAGAAGTAAATACAGAAAAGGTCTTTTGCAGCAGAACTGAGTAAATTATTTTACTACAAATAATGTCTGCAGTGAATTTGTCCATTTTTTTCCATTTGCGCAATATCTGCGTGCAGATTGCAATTTTCATAAATTTGCATGCCAATAGTTTTGTGGAGTTCTGTCATATGGATTGATTGTGAACAGATTTTGCTGTGCATGTTCAATACTCCAGACGCATATTTTAATGTTTGGTTGTGATTGGTCACACCCATCATATGGTTATGTTTCTGTTTCACGGAAAGTTGAGTGTGACCCTCATATTTGGGTTGCTAGGGCAAATGAACATGTGAGTTTGTGCTTCATTTTTCATGAAAGTTTACACAACTGGATCACTCAACTCTTTGCGGAGAAAAAATATACTTACTGTAATAGGGTTGCTGATCTGGACAGAAATCGCCCATATTTAATTCACACAGCGATTCGTGCAAAATAATTTTAGGCATCTACTCAGCTCTATGCAGGGGCCTTGTAGGCTGTGTAACAAGGTTTCAGTTCAATCCAGTTCCCCAGCACACCTATATTGATTTCCATCCTTACACTCCAACAACATCTACAGTCTATACATCTGCACACCTAACAATTAGTGCCCCAGGCCTCAGCATCCTATGCTGGTCCCATTCTCTGTGTTCTGCTCTCTCATCTGGAATCCCAACGCTGGAGTTTGCAATTCCCATGTGCCCCACACTGAGTCTAGCCTTATCATCTCAGACCCACGTTATAGTCCAGCGCATAAAATCTGTTCTCCACTGAACACACAGCCTCAGCATCCTCATGCTGACCTCATCTTGGATTGACCTTGCTCCAGTTCTGGCACTGATGCAAGTTCAAAAACTTCATTACCACCTTCACCTCTTTCCTCACAGCTCTCACACTGGCCCCTGCCCCTCAGACACCCCAGTTATTAATGTGCCCACACAGAACCTGATTCTATTATCAACTGCACTGGGGGTATCATGCCTCTCTATTCTGTCCCCTGTAGCATTCCCTCTTGGCCAGGAGAGAGGCTGATCTTTCCCCACTGTCTCTTCTGTTCTGTTCTCTGTAGTAGACTCCAGGAGCTGGAACTACTATTTGGTTTTCACCATGTAACCGTCACCAACCTATTGTCCTTCCTGCCCTTCGTGAGACAGAGACCTATTCTCCCTTTCATAATCCTCTTCCCCTTCTGTTCCTGTGATTCTCCTGCTTTTGGTCACAGAATTTGATCGATCTTCTGCATATCTCCTCTGCTGACTGCCCCTTGCTGGCACTGAAAAATTCCATATTTTTCCAGTACATATACAGAGGGATTACAAGCTCCACATTTCTCAAGTCAATGCATGTGTGGCTAGAGGGGATCTCATCGAATCAACCCTGCGCCTGACCCGTGTGACACTCAGGGTCTGTCACATTTCCCCTATAAGCATTGCTGGCTTTGGATCCGATCTCAGAGACTATGGACAGAGTGATTCTAGGCTTCTCTGAGAAAGTGCTCCTGGGGAGGAGATATGTGAGGCAGTGACGGAAGAATGAGAAAAACTCTAAGGGGAAAAATAACTCCAAGTCCTAATGAAAACAGTCGGTGTCTGTGAAAGTTACATTGCAGCATCCTTGGGGGAGCCAGGACTAGGCTGCCAGGGCTCAGCCAGGGGCCATCCTGCAAGGAAAATGCATCTTGGACTGAGTGATATCCTTAACCTTGCAGAGCAGCTTGGCTGGGAGTCAGGACCCAACGACCCCACAAGGGCAGCTCCTGGTGGGGATTCAGAAACTATAACCATAACTGAGCTGCATCCATCCCCCATTCCTGCCTTTATCAAAAATGTTGTTGTTCTGGGTCAGCAGGGCCATGGGCACATAGCAAAGGGGACAGGACTCTCAAGGCAAAACGGCGATAGGAGGAGGACAAGGAATACAGAAAGAGGAGGAAGATGAGTCTCTCCAGAAACAGAGGGAGGATGGGCCCCCTGTCAAAGAGCTCCCAGTCAGCCCTTCACCTCAGTTTTGAAGGTTCCTTCCTTTGTACACAATACTACATCTTCAGGCTTGGTGAGCCTAGAGGCCACTCCGCTAACTGGAAAATTACTTGATAAGAATAGGCATTGTTGGCAGCTCTCCATTAAGAGAAAGGGATGAGGAAATAGGTACCAGTCAGGATAGAAGAGGTCAGACTGAGAGGTGGGGAGGAGTCTCCTGGCAATAACAGTGGCAGGAATGAAAAATGTCTCACAGCTATCAGCCAGGGTCTCTCATCACTCTGGAGGTCTGCACACAGATAGGAAAGCAGGACAGCAACCGGAAGCTGTTCCCACTTAAGTGTGATGCCTGCCAAAAGCACAACCCTCAGCCCTGAGCAGAGAAGAGCATAGACCCTTGTGGATATGCACAAGCACCAACAGAAAACATTAGATGCATATAAAATAGAAATGCTGTGTTTTCCTTCCTCTCAGCATCTCTCAGGCTCCTTCTTCCTCTTGAAAGTTCTTAATTGGGATGAATTGTAGGTTTTTTGCAGTTGCTCTGTTCAGCTCTCTGCTTAATTGCCACGTTAGGGCTTAACCCTTTTTCATGCTTTCTACAATACCTCTTCCCCAAGTCATCTTGTTTTGAGCATCATATGCCTTCTGTTACAGAGTCGATCCTGTCCTTGCCAAAGGATTCAGTAGACATAAAAGACCAAATCCATCCCTTGAAGCCAGTGAAGTTATACAGGGATGAATGTGGGCCAGGCAGCATTCATTTGAGATCAGTTATCCACAAGATGTCCTTTCTGAACCGTTAAGACTCTAAAATAACTAATCTCTTGCAGAAACTGTTCTGACATCCCCATTTCATGGTGTTTAACTCTTTATCTTATGGAAGAGAAGTGACCATTCTTTTGTCAAGTTTAAAGATTAGCTTCTGGAGAGATCACTTTCTGAACTCGCACTAGCTTCCATAAAAGAAGCTGATCTTTCTGAAATTTTACATGTTGTATCTCATCCCATAGTCTATTTTTTTTCTGGGACAGCAAGTAAAAATCATTACATTAGCTTTAATGTTACAGTGTTTTGAAATGTTACTGGAGGTTCACTTTTGAAAATTTTTCCAACTGTTTTTTGATGAAGATATCTACAACATTTTGGTTTTAAAAAAATCCAAATTTGTTTTCTTTCACTGCTTTTGCTACGGCAATGGGGGTCAGTATTTTGGTGCAGTTAATGGGGGATGTACAAAGATGTAATAAAAACAGCCTGCCATACCCAAATAAGGGGGCAAAGGAAAGGAGCTAACCCCAGCATCTCTCTGAAGCAGGTTTATAATAAAGGGTCAGTGGAAAGCCAGTAGCAGTTCAGAGGGGAAAAAAATGCTGTCTTTACCTGACATACAAGCAAGCAGGGAAGAGAAACTGATTAACTATGTACCATTAACTTGGTAAGTTAAGGACTGTGTTTTGCCTTGCAGAATTTCCAGTTGTCCGAGCTTGGCTTGGGGCTGTTCTAGGTTTAGACACATTTATCCTGGAAAATGTACAGTTGGATGAAACAGGGAAGAAGTGCGTATCTTCCTCAGCGTGCATCCTTTCTGCTGCCCTCTTACTGCTTTCTCCACTGGCCATGAGCCAGGGAGATGCAACAGCAATAAGCTGCAAAGAACAAAACCCATGGGAACAAGGTGCTAGCAACTAAGGGGACACAAGGAAAGGGAATCTAATACTGGCCCTAGCCCCTCCCCTCACACATCCCATACTCTGCCGACTTCCCATTCACTCACCTACCTACCCAAGGTCCGTCATAGACAAAATCTGGGTTCCACAGCCTGCCCCAACAAAACCAACACCCACATAGCTCTGTGACTCCCCATCCACACCTGTCTATCAACCTCACAAGTAGGTCCATGAGTAGATTAGAAAAATAGGTTACCTTTAAAAACATGTAAACTCACACATTTTAACAAAGTTGAGCAGACAGTGCGTAATGCCTTTAAAATATTCTGGCACAGGAAGAGCTTAGATTTGATCTGCAGTAGGTAACATTTTTCAAGATATTAAATTATATATACATTTGTGATTAAAAATTGCGTATAAGTTAAGCAGTAGGTTTTAATACAACCTGTTTTCTTATTCTAGTCTGTTGGAAGAGGAAAAGGGGCAATGGGTGAATCCCTACTGCTAGCTAATTAGATTATACATTTCATCACTCAGCCAATATATCTTTCCCTGCCTGGGCTGCATTTTTCTTCACTAACCCCTCGACAACAGCTACCCTATAAATCACTGATCACCACTGCAAGCATTCCTCTAATGAGACACTCCGGCTTTTGCCTTCACTTAATGAACAACATTCACCCATCTCCATCTTCTTGGTGCTTATTAAAAGCTATGGCACGTCTTTCTGGTGCAGACAGAAACCCCTAGTTAAAGATCACATGGCTTTCCCTTTATTTTCCCATGCCCAAAGTATTAATCCTCCATATATCAACATCGCAGGTGGTAAAGACACCTGTCATAATATTTCAAATATGAAAAGATGCATCCTGCAACATAAGCACATCACTAGTAGAACTATAGAATGAGCCAGCTAATCAAAACAAGAGTTAAGCTTTAAAGCTCTTTAACCAAAACAACACAGCATCAAAAATAAGCATGCTTTATTTACAGTACTGGAGGTGGCTTGGACCTATCACCACATATTCTACTTAGATGCATTACATTCAACACACTTTTCCTAGCAATGGGCATGTATAACAACCTAAGAGCACAGGTTCCCAAAAGGGTTGCCTGAGAGAAATGACTCAGTGCTTAAGAAACTCCAGAAAACTCCCCTTGGTTGAGAAAGGTTGCTGTGACCTTGTGAATAGGGGACAGCATCTGCAATTGGAACAGAAGTGCTACATCCTACCTTGAACTATACAGATGTTTTTCCCAACTTCAGGGCATCTCCTTGCACTGGAGATGTGAGTGGATTTTCACGTGCTAAATCGGCATTGTGCTAAACAGAAGGAGAATTCTACTTGAAGACGTTGCCCTTCCCCACACCAAACAATTCCCTCTGCTGACGCAGAATAACTTAAAGCCAGGTGGCCTTGCTCTCCTCCTGTGTCCGGTTCTATAAATGATAGCAGAACCATGCAATTAGCTAAGGAATGAAGAATGAATGATGAAAAATGAAAAAGTGAGGTTCTGACTTTACCAGGAGACTGGAAAACTGGACACAGTGAAGAAGGGACTAACTGTAGTCAGCAATGTAAAATAACAACCAAAAAAACTTCCCAACAAACCTAAGTCAGAGAGAAGGAGAAATGATTTTTGTGAAAATGTAAGGACAAAATAAAGAGGATTTTATCTGGAATGTGGGGAGAGATGGTAAGGGCGTAATTCTCAAATGCATACCATTGAGAGTCTCTTTCTACACCAGTTGCAGCTTTTGAGGAAAGTGTGCAATCTGGGACCAGCAGAGGGCACTGTGTTGCAAGAAGTACAGAGGTACAGCAGAAAAACTCTTGGCAGCCAGACAGTTTCTAACAGGCAGAGGAAAAGAGCCAAATTGGTGTAAAAACTAGACTCTGAGAAGTCAAAACCAGACATTAGTTAGAAACAACTCTGTGCAAGGTGATGAATCCGACAGCATCATTTCTCAGAACTATATCCAATTCAAAATCAGTCTCTGCATAGGACAGACTTCTTGCCACCAGTTCTGGGCACTTCTCAGAAGACTCTGTCCTCAAGTCTATTCCAGCCACGTGTTTTCCAAGTGGATGGCCTACATCACTCCTACCTCCAATACATATACCCCATACAATACTCCTACCTCCAATACATATATCAGTATTGGACTATTTAATGTGCAAATCCCCCAGTAGCTTCCTGACTCCTTCCTGAAACCACCAGACCCTTGGTTTTAGCAGCAGAAATGCCATTCAGATAAGAAATGGGGAAATATCAAAGCAGGAAGCCAAACATTTCTAGGCTGTATTCCATCCCTGCCACACACACAACCCAAACCCAGAGAAGGGGATGTAACAGAGGAAGAAACCTGAGGAAAGAATCCCTGGAAAAGCTGCCTTTCCACATGTTTATTTTTGGTTTAATTTGAATCATCAGATCATCACAAGAAAAAAATGTCTCATCTCTTATTTTCCAGTCTGTGGGATTCTGTGCAACCAGGGTTTCTTCTGTTCGAAGACGCCCCATAGGGGCTAAGCAAGTTGATATATGCAAAGACCTCACACTAGTGAATGAAAGCTTTCCACCTTCTCTTGGTATAGTCGATGGAATGAGTTTGCCAGGATGTGGAAAGGGGCTTCAAAGTTTTCCATCTCCTTCTGTAAAGAGATAAGGGAGGTTATGAAAGACAGATGGAGAAAGGACTCAACTGTTTCTACTCTGTCTAATTGCTTCACAAAAAACAGATTTATACCAGACGTGAGATAAACTGTAAATGATGGTACCAGAACCCTTTATTATCCCCCCTCACTAAAAGAAGATAACACCACAAACACCCACTTCCACAGACATAGAAAGGAGAAGATGCTCACCACTGACGTCTCACAGTATTCCAAGCCATGGTTCTGAGCCCACTCCTGTGCCTGTTTCTGTTCCACAACTCGACGACCAATAAGGTCTGTTTTATTCCCTACCAACACACCTACAGAACAAAATGAGAGGGAGGAAAGGTTGAGCTGTTAGTGACAAATGCTATGAAAGATGGTGGATATGCTAGAAAGTAGAGAGGAAAAATAACTGTATTGATATTTTATGCAGAAAAAATGCTAAACTAGAAGGACAGTAAAAGCATCACACAGGACAGTGAAGATCAACCTCTATGGCAGGCATACCGCAAATTAGCTATGCACCTTCCTTGAGTGCCGCTCCAATCCCCATCCTCTGCCCAACCTGCTGCTCTGCTTTCTGGTTCCTGACCTGGGCTCCCTGTCTGATCTGCTGCTCTGATTTCTGCTCCCTGCCCTGGCTGCTGCTGTGCTGCCTGTTACCTCCAGAACCTGCCATATCACACACACAGGCTGCCTGTGCTATTTGTGGCACCTGTGCCACATGTTGGCCACCACTGACCTAGAACATTCACTCCATTGCCTGCTTTACTTGGAGACTGGAGGAGTTGAAGGTAGCCAGGCCTGGCTTGGATTGAAAATAATGCTGTATATGCCCTATCTCAGTAGGAAACGGCAGCATGACAAAAATATTAGAAGAGGTCCAAAAATCTCTGTCTCCTACCTGGAAGGTTCATTCCAAGTGCCTGTGCCCTCAGCTTTTCCAACCATTTGGCACAGTTGTTGAAAGACTGTTCACTGGTCACGTCATACACAATACAAAGAACATTGGGCTGCTCCCACTGCAGAGCAACAGAGAAACACTGTCAACTCTACTGAAACTTGATGTGGTCAACAGTTAACAAATCCCCAGGGATGGGGAAAGGAAAGAAGAAGAAGCACCTTTATGAAGAACATAGAACCCAAGACAAAACTAAAAGGATGCTAATATAAAGGGACCCCACACTGAATTAAATGATCCCACCCCCCAAAATGAGAAACTACAATTGGAGAGATTCTTGAAGGAGGGAGAAACAGGGACATATTTTCTGGGATCAGAGGAAAATCGAGGAGAATGTTGCATCCCATCAGGAGGGGTCTTTGTGGAACAGGAAGATCAGGCTGAAGGCAAAATCTGCTGTACTAGGAGGAGCCAAATGGATGTTCCCCTCAAAGTCAAAAAGTCTCAAAGCACTTGCATCAATCTCAGTTCAGTATTCTCACGGGAAGCTTCCTCCATCATGCCACCTTCTTGTTCTTGGAAAAGAGTCCCTCTAGTGCTGTTTCAAGTTTCAGATAGAAAAAGAGATGGGGATTTCAGGCAACCTCTACATGAAGGCCAAAGCTTGCTACATCCACCAGACTGGGGATCTCAGCTCCTCTTCAAAAGAACAGCATTTCTCTACAATTAAGAAGACTGATACATGATCCTTACCAGTTTCTCCAGCACCTCAGAAAATAATTCCTTGCCTGCTGAATCAAAAATGAAGAGTTCCTGAAAAGATGAGAAGAAAGAATTTGTTTTCCCCTCATGGAAAACTGTCATGCAAGGAGGAATTTGGAGAGTAAATCCTGAAACCTGTTGCTCTTACTTCTAGCTCAATAGCAGTTATGGTAAGGCAGCACCATGCCCCTAGGAGCTAAGCACACAGCACTCACAGTGCACCTTGCTCAGAAAGCAAGTCAAAACAAGCAGGATTTCCTGCATAATCAATGGAGAGAGATGCCCTGCAGGGCACCAGGCCTGGGCTTCACTCCAACTTAAAGGACATCTGTCGGATAAAAAATTAACCAAAATATACATAGAGATAATGGTAGTGCAGAGCACTAAGGCCTAGGGGACTGGATAGAGCCCAGCCACGAGAGTTGTAGGAAAGGGGAACTAGCCCTGGATATTCTAAATGAGAGTGCAGAGCCCTAACTAGGCTGGCAAAAGCTGCAGTTTAAGAAGGCATGTGGTATTTGAGTACACAAACATTTGTGTTTTAAAAATAAAATGCACTGGAGAATCAGATATGGTGCAGGATTGGCATGATGTTTCCTAAGGCAACTTAACATCCCTGTGAACATCTGGAGAGCTCATGCAATGGTACGAGATCAGACATTCAAATAACAGATGGAGCTCTTCACATCTCCTAACCCTTTGTGTCATGGCAGGACTCACCACGCTATTGTTTGTCTCTGGAATAGCTATATTCTTCACCAATAGCTCCATGCCTGTTGTCTGTCAAGAAGAACAAGAAAAACATGGTTCAGAAAATCTTCCAGTGGCCCACTCATTTGCACATGATATACTGGGCTGCACTAGATAATCCAAATGCCAAGACCTGGTAACATGGTCTTGCAGGCAAGGGAGCACTAAGCAAGCCCTTGGAGACTTGCTCATGTGGGAAAATGGACAGAAAAGAACTAGGCTCCATAGATCAGCTTGCTAACCAGGATACTGGCTAACATCTGCAGATCTAGAGCTGGGTCTAGATTCATTAACACCTCTCCAATTGCTCCAAATTATGTCCCCCAAGCCTCTCCACCAATTATGATATTTCCGTGGTGCCATGCCGCAGCAAGCATATGGCAATCTGGGATCCTCTTTTTATGCCTCTTCCACCTTTGATCACATTCTCTCCTTCCTATTTTTTTACTACCTTTATTCTCCTTTATTCTCAATGTATGATGCATACCAGGATTTTTCTCTTGCTTTCCTATTGTATTATAAAAGCAAGAGCCACAAACTGCATCCCTTTCCTCCTAGAATCATTTCTACAGATTCTAATTACCTTGGGGCAGTGGAGCATATCTTCGTATTTGTAGAGCCAAGAGGCCAATACTTACTGGAATAAACAGTTTTTCTAGCAGCAAGCCATTTTCATACAGAGTTCCCTACAGAGGGAGAATGTCTAAGACCAGAGAAGCCTGTGAAGATTTTGATACAGAAGGAAACTGATCAAAACCCTCTGCAGTATGATTTGAAGTCAACTCCCTATGAGATGGGAAATCTACTTCTCAGTTTCTTTGTAGCCTGCAGTATGAGACAGAGATGTCTGTAAGCCACCTCCTTGAATGCATCAACCTAAAGATCTGCCAATACTGGAAAATCAGCCTAATGCAACTGTTCATCCTCTCCTGTAGTTTCATGTTCTTTTCTCATTAATTTTTAGAGAGGTAACTGAATGACAGCTTGTATCTGCAGTTCCCTCTCAGTTCCTATCCTCATCCCTGGTGTGTCATTCTACAAAGCTCACCATCGTGTAATTCTTCTGGAAGTGAGATCCGTCGTTGCAGAACATCTGGGCCAAGGCACTCTTTCCCACTGCTGGGTCACCTGCACGGCCAATGGAAAAGAGGACTTTGTTTAGTCTTGGCCTGATAATCCTATTTCTCTGCTCCTACCAAATTCCAAAAAGAGCTATCTGTTACCTTCACCTGAAATTATAACTACTGGTCCACATAAGTAAGAAAGCTGGAAAAAAAAAATCAACAGGGGAACTGGTTAAGGGGCGGAATAAGGTTCATCATTGTATGTGAGGGGCTTTAAGTCTCTGTAATATCCATGACTGAGAGGATATTGGCCATTGGCCTGGTTTTTAGGTCAGGCCAGTCAGAACACAATCACCTAAAAGTCAGGACAAAATGGCCATTTGTTTCAAAATTCACAAGTCTGCCCTCCGTCCTTTTACCCTACAGCAGTTCCCAGTTCCCATGCATACATCAATGTGAAGACAAACTATTAAATAAGATGAAGAGTAGACCCTATTACAGTATAAGGCCAGCTTCTCTCTCTACTTTATAGTCTCCCAAAATCCATTCCCTGCTTTAATGAATAGGAGTTTTCAGGAAGTTTACATCACTCATACCACAACAGAATTGTGAAGGTCAGCACCATTCTCCTATCAACTCTCCCCATTAACAGGTACTGACCCTGCTGTGAGACCCTAAGCAGTTTCTTGGGTCAATCCTTCAAATGGCCCCTTAGCTCCACTCCAGCTATAAGAGAAACAAGCATCCCAATATGGAGAGAAAAGATCCAATACATCCCTGTATGGAAGAAAAGCCAGCTGAAAGACTGCAGGAAAAATACCTTTTGCTTCCCCTATTCTGGGACTGGCAAATAGTGATTTGTTTCACAGAGCAGGATAAGGAAGTCCCAAAGACAGGACCACTGCTGCAATAGCCTCTATGAGCAACTACAGTGGCATAAAATTGCAAAGCGTAAAAATCAAAGAATCAGAAAAATGGGGCTGGAAGGGACCTCAGGAGGTCATCTAGCCTTAACCACTGCTCAAGGTGGGATCATCCCTGATTAACTGCTTTTTAAAAAACTTTGGGAACAAGCCTCACACACAACCAGCAGGCATAATCCTGAACCATCAGAAGCCCCATTAATTTGCCACAGGTAAAGTGGGCAAATAAAGGTAATGCCCAGGCCACTTTCTAAAACATATGCTAGATCAAGGCCTCCTGCCACGTTGGCACAAAGTTAACTTAGTGTTCCCAGCGTCTAGCTGCTCCAAGCCACTTACACCTAGCCACTCCAAAGGAACTAGGGGTTAGAAACTAATTCCTCCAAAGGGATTAAACAGTTCTTAAGGAGGGACTCCAGTGACCAACCATGCTCAAGATTAATGTTTTGCTCTGGAGATGAATGTTTTGTACTGGAGTTAAATTGTTAATACCACCAAAGCCACAAAGGGGATATGTTTTGACCCCATTACATTTTTTCTAGACAATATTTTGAAGCACTTTAGCAAAGCCACATTCTCACTCAAATATCTAGGGCAGGAAAATTATTCTGGGTAGTGACAATTGCTCATAGATTCCTAACACAAATGTAGTCTTTTCTAAAACCCCCTTTCAATGTAGCTACATTTTCTCTAGGGCTGAACTGATCCCATAAAAATTTAGCCAGCAAAGACTAGTGGTTTATTCACTTCCTTCTTTGTGTAGTTCAGGATTATTTTCTATAGTATGCTCTTCAGTGGTCCGACTTCCTGGGGGAGGTTATCCTGTGGCTTAATAGACCACTGCTTCTGTCAGAGGTGTGATTGACAGCCTGTGCCCGGAGCAAGCTGTTCCAGCAGGGGATAATGCTGTGAGAATGTATATGGGGAGGCAATTTAAAAGCCAAAATTTGGCAGGTAAAAAAAAGATGATGAGAGGGTTAACACTCTGGCTCTTGGCTGCACTTGCCTTCTCTATCTCTCATCCCCCCAGCAGCAGCTTCCCTTGGAAGTGAGGCTCCCACCAGCATCAATGCCACGGGGGTGTCCGTGTCCATGTCCCTATGTGGTGTCCACCTGCCTTCATTCTAGCACGTCTCTTAGGCAGCATCCAGGACTTGTGCCCCGCTTGCCCACCCACAGCTGCTGGCTTCTGTAGTCCACGAAGTGATGTTTTTGAAGTCACTATCCAAAACTTCAATAACTTCTTTGTTTCCAGCTCCCAGCGCAAACTCTTATGGTACTGTTAGAGTGATGTTGTAGTCACGACGGTCCAGGAATTATGCGAGAGGCAAGGATTTCCTAGGGTGATATTTTTTATTGGACCAACGGCATACTTGGGAAAGAATTAGAGAAGCTTTTGAATGTAAAACATTCCTCACCAGGTTTGAGGAGCGACTTGTCATCTTCTGTCATTCCCATTGCCCTAATTAGTTTATTCCTTGTACCCTAGTCCATCACTGTACCTTTTTTTCTTATGGTAAGGTAAGGTTTTCCCTTAGTTTGGTCCTGTTTTCCCACCCTTATGCCCTCTACTATTCCTATCATCAATAATTCATTTACACTGCCAGTACTTTTCTTACTCCTCTAAAACCACTATCCACTGGCTTTTTTAAAACATTCTTTTCACAGCATCTCTAGCCACTACCCCATCTAAAACATTCCTCTTTTTCCTTGCCAACCAGCTCAAAATGTAAGATTTGTGGCTGTATATCCATATATTTCCCTAGAAATAACATGGGAATCATTTTCTATCATGTAGTTAATAATCTCCTTCCTGCTAATGAAGGGCCCTTTCCCCTTCACTTTCTCTGACCGCAACGCAGCTCTCAATGCTGAGAACCCTCCATAATCACTTCCTTTGGTACGTAGGCGTATCTAGTTCTACCCTACAGTGCTTTTGCTCCAACCAACTTAATTGCATTCTCTCTTCTCTAGTTTGTTATGGCTATTTTTCTGGGTTAAGAATTTTCCCCTGTGGAGGTCTATGAGATAAGCAGAGGAGTAAGAATCTCTCTTCGTTTTACCTTAACTTGCTCACTTCTTTTCTGTCTCTAGAATGATGATTTATTTGTACTATCATAGCACCTAGGAGCCTCAGTCAGGGACCAAAATACCCCAAGGCTCTCTGCTATCCAAACAGAACAAAAAATTAGTCTCTGCCCCAAAGGGCTGACAAGACAAGAGACATCATCAGGGGATGGATACAATAATGAGGGGGAACACAAGGGAACAGCAAGATAACAGTGGCTAGCATGGAAGGCCAGTCACAGCACAGTGGCAGCCTAACTGATATGAAGGGTTTTGTAGACATCACAGAAAAGAGATTTTTTTAAAGAGGTTTTAATTAACAAGCTAGCTTTGAGGATGTCAAGGAAAGTGATTTTTCCACTATTTAGTAGCACTGAAGTCTCACCTGGAGTACTGTGTCCCATTTTGGACACTGCACTTCATGGAAGATGTGGACATATTAGATAGAGTCCAGTGCAGAGTGACAAAAATGATTAGAGGTCCAGGAAAAAAAAGACATATGAGGAAAGATAAAAGAATGGGGCTTACTTAGTCTGTAGAAGAAGACTGAGAGGTGAGAGGTGCTTAATAACAGTCTTCCAATACTTGAAGGGTGATTATAAAAGAGGATGGTGACAGACTATTCTCTATGCTTACAGGGGACAGGACAAGGAATAACTGTCCTAAGTTACAGCAAGGGAAATTGAGGTTGGAGATTGGGAAGAACTTTTTCACTATGAGGTGCTCAAGCACTGGAACAGACTACCCAGAGAGGCTGCGGACTTTCCATCCCTGGCTGTTTTTAAGAGCAGATTAAAAAAGTAATGGTCTGAAACAGTTTAGACAGGGATGAACCTGGTGGTGGGGGTGTGTAAGATAACCCAGTGGACAGGCTGTGAAGGACTTTGAAAGTGGAGACAAGTAGTTTATGATTGGTGTAATAGAGAAGGGGGAGCCAGTGGAAGGGTATTTGGAATCAAATGACCTCACCAAAGGAAGGGGCAAGGTCTTTGCAACAGTATTCTGGATGGAGGAGAATGAAGCAAGCTTGCATTGGTCAAGCCCAGAAAGCAGGATGCTGCAATAACTGAATTGGGAGGTGACAAGAGTCTGGGCTTTGCGGATGGATGGGAAACGCTATGCCTTAGAGTGGTTATGCACAAAGAGTCTGCAAAAACTTAGATGCAGCCTGCATGTTACAACCTAGAGAGAGGTGCAAGACAAAGATAATGAGATGTAGTTAGCCATGTTAGTCTGAAGTCAGGTAGAAGGCAGAGTACGATTTGTACCTTGAACTTCAGCTCACGAGACCTTGTGCTATACTGGGCAACTGTCAATCCTCTGGATCATGGTGTACATGTAAGAGGTCTAGTCAGGTGCTTGATGAATCTGCTTGTGGCTGACAAGTCCAGGTCGAGAGTGACAGCTTGTTACAAGTTTCACAGATCCATGTGTTGTCTGAGCTGGTGTCCAGCACGCTACTTCCTCCTTTCTCGTTTTGTTTCCCTCTTCTGGTTCAAAGCCACTTAATGTTGAGCTGCACCCAGTGCTAGATGTCCCCTCCAGATTGTATGGGATTCTGTGCACTTCTCCCAGCTTTCTACATTGATGTTGAATAACTTCATATAATTTTTGCACAAGTTGTGGTTCTGCCAAGGACAATCCTGCTTTCTAGGGCTGCCTCAAATCTCGCTGTATAAAATATTTTTGGGGATACAATCTCCTTCCATTCTCCTGATACGGCCAAGCCATCACAACCTCCTCCTCTTGACAGCGGTTTCTGAGTACATCAGTCCTGCGCACTCCAGCACCTGTTTGGCATTTTGTCTTCCCACTTTGTTTTCAGGATCTTGAGCAGGCATCTCATGTGGAAGCTGTTCAGTCTCTTAATGTGCCTAGCATACAAAGTCCACATTTCTGAACCATAAAGCAGGGATGACAGCACGCAAGCCTCATAGATTTGCATCTTCACCTTAGTTGATAGTTTGTTGTTATTCCATGCATGTTTCTGTAATAGCCCAACTTTTGTAGCAGCTTTTCTGATTCTGTTAGTTAGTTTAGTCTGAAGGTCAAGATTCCTGCTGATCATAGAACC